CGTAGCAGGAGGCAAGGGGCTGCTGGCCCAGGCTGCAGCGGAAGCGGCTCTGAGGTGAGGTGGCTGACACCATGCATGGAGAGAAGGGGCTGTGGGAGCCCACCTTCACGTACACCCTGCAGGGTGGGCAGAAAGAGCTGGAGGTGACCCCCCCCAAACCCACCCATGGTGAGAAGAAACCGTGGGAACCCACCTTGATGTACAACCTGTGGTGAAGGTGGGCCCCAAAACCCAATCACAGTGGGAAGAGGTGACCACCTTCATGTGCACCCTGCAGGATGGTGACCCCCTAAAATCTACCCATGGTGAGAAGGGGCCATGGGAACTCACCTTTAGGTACAACCTATGGTCTGGCGGGAGGTGTCCCCCAAAACCCACCTGTGACAAGAAGAAGTCATGGGAACCCACCTTCACATGAGTACCAGCTGGAGTTGGCCCCCAAAACCCACCCATGGCAAGAAGAAACCATGGGAACCTGTACATGTACAACCTCAGGGGTGGGGGACACTGTTGACCTCCCAAAACCCATGCAGGGAGGCTGAGGGTCTGCCCAGGAGCACCCCAAGCCCCCCAGATCTGCTCATACCCCTCCTTGCGCCCCTCGATGGGCAGTGGGACGCGGCCACCCCTGTCCAGGGCAGAGGTGATGTTGATGATGTGGAGGTCACTCCTCTCCCAGACCCCAGCCGAGGCCTGGAGGAACATCTCCTGCACAACCTCTGGCAGCAGCTCCTCCACGTTCCTGTTCCCCACCAGGAACTCACCCTGGTATGGGGGGTCCCCACCTGTGGGGGACACACAGAACCCATGGGGACACCTCTCACCCATCCTGGGGGTGATTTGGGGGTGCTCAGCCCTTACCTGGAGCAGGGACGACGGCGATGATGAGGCGCTGGGACACCGTGGCGTAGGTGTGACGGTTGTACGCCAACACCTGTAAGGAGAAGGGAGACCCTCCAACCATGTCATCCCCCTGAAGATTCCACTCCATCTCCTTGTGTCACCCCAAAAATTGGGGGATGTGAGGGTGGGCACCTACCTCGATGATGTGGGTGCCCACCTCGGTGGCCGTGGGGCAGCCGTACAGGTAGCCAGGCTGGGGGCAGCCATACAGGTAGCCAGGCTGGAGGGGATCGCGTTGGATGTACCTCAGCCACCGTGGTAGGTCAGGGTGGGCCTGCAGGTGGGCTTGGAAGGTGATGGGGCCTTCTGGGTGTGGGGACACATGGGTGGGTGGGGATGGACACAGACATGGGGGCATGAGTGTCACCAGGCTGTGATGCAGGTGGACACTTGCCCAGCAAAACTTTCCACATCCAACTGATCCCAATGAGGAAACAGGGCTGGTCCTGGGGGGTCCTGCTGACACTTTTGAGCTGGGATGGAGGATGGGATGGGATGAAAGGAGATGGATAGATGGAAGATGAAATAAATGGATGGATGGATGGATGGATGGATGGATGGATGGATGGATGGATGGATGTGTACAGGACTGGATGGGTGGATGGAGGGATGGATAGGGCCCAGCTGGGGTGATGCCTAGTGGTCAGCAGGCATTACCTAGTGCCCCCCTTAGAAGTCCCAGACACCCACTTCCCCCATCCTGGCCCTCACCATCATCCTCCTCGCTCCCAGCAAGGAATGCCTCCTGGAACAGCTCCCTCTCCAGCTCATGGACGAAGACAGCTCCAGTTTCAGAGGAGACACGGTGGTCAGGGAGGACGTGGTGGTCAGGGTGGGTGGCCTGGGACACCCCCAGGGCCAGAGCTGTGGCCAGGAACAAGGTTGGAGCCAGGACTGGGAACATAACTCCTCCCTGCCTCAGTTTCCCCATGAAACCCCAGGGATGAGCCACAGGTGCCCACTGACCCACCTGGGACAGAAATATGTCCCTGCAGTGCCAAGTGCCCCAAGGCAGCAGGGGAGATGTATTTAGGAGGGGATGGGGACAGGGACAGGATGGGGACAGGGACAGGTCAGGGATGGGGCCAAGGATGGGTCTGGAGGGAGAAGATGGGGACATTGATGGGTGGGGGACAGTGACAGGGATGGAGACAGGGATAGGATGGGGACAGGGACAGGTCAGGGATGGGGCCAAGGATGGGTCTGGAGGGAGAAGATGGGGACATTGATGGGTGGGGGACTGGGACAGGATGGGGACAGGAACGAGATGGGGCCAGAAGCAAGATGGGGATAGGGATAGGGATGTGGCAGGGCCAGGGATGGGCCCAGCACCTTCCCTCACTCTGGCCCAGTCACACCGAGGTGCCACTCAGTGTCCCCGGCTCTGTCCCAATCCCAGCTGGCACCAGGGACAGGATGGCTTTATTTAGCTCAGTCACGTCCCAACCCTGTCCCTCCCATCCTCCCCCACTTTTGCCCTCTGTACCCACCCCATTTGGGGGTTCCCCCTTCCCCTCCCTGCTGGGGGTCCCCCAGACCCTC